CTTGAGGGCACAGTAATAGGGTCAGATGAGTCTTGCAGTGGACAAAAGTCCTCTAGGGGCTCATTCTCTGGGTCCCACCACCTCTGGTACCCTCTGGGCAGAGGTCAGGGTCATGCTCAGGGTCCTGTGGGGGCTGAGCCTGTGAGCAGGGCCTGGGCAGCACCTGGGCAGCAAGTGAGGAGGAGGAGCAGAGGAGGGTCCAGGCATTGGTGGGCAGCCCAGACTCTTTCTCTTGAGTCCACTGCTGAGCCTGGCCTCCCTGAGCCTCCCTCATGCCTCTTCTCTGGTTCCTGTGAAAATGGTCCTCATGCTGGCGGAGAGAATCTCCTTGCTTCTGCGAGAGCTGCGCAGGTTTGGCTGTGCTCACCTCTCAGCTCCATAGGGGAGCTCTGGTCGCTCCGTGTTTGACCTGCATCACAACTGGGGAGAAGGAGAGCGGATGGCATTTCTGTTGAAGTTTTCATGAAATTTGTCATGTGATCATTTGCTTCTATTTCTGTGAGTGTTTCAGATACACTAGACATGAAATATTCCATCCTGACCGCGTGTAAGAGTTCAGTTCTACTTCCCAGATTCTCTGTTCTGTGCTTTTTTTTTTACATCTTGAATTATGGAACAGAATTGAGTGTGAATATTGTCTTGATCTTGCATTTAGTATAAGATTATTTATGTAGTTTTCTCATCCTTCGATGTTGCTATTAAAATCATTTTGACAATGTCTGTTTTTAATTGTGGGGTTTAGACCCTTTCCTGACTTTGTGTGGTAACATAGTTTGTTAGATCCCATCCTGATTTTTATTTTCTCTATGTTCCATGGGTTGTCTTTTCTCTTCCATTTTTATCTCTTCTTGAAAATTGGAGCATTTTTCTATAATCTGCTTTGTTTTTCTGTTTTGGCTTATTACGGTAACTCCTTGCTCTCCTGTCATCTGTGACTCATCACAGGCTACATTCAGGTGACATCACACCATGGGACAGGGAGCATCAGACATTAGAGCCCAATTCCCACGTTCTCTTCTCAGGGCTGTGGTAGGAATGTCATACCCATCACTGTTAGCTACGTGATAAATTCCAACATATGCAGTGAATTAGATTTGCTCTAGACAGTGATTTATTTTTCAAAGAGAGTTAAACTGTCAAAAGAAATTCTTCATATTTATCCCTGTAGTTATAATTTCTGACTCTTACAATCATTTTGTAGATCCGGATTCTTTCTGGATTCCCTTCCTCCTGCCTGAGGGATGTCCAGTAGTATTTCCTGTGATACGGGTCTGCTGATGATCAGTTCTGTCAGTTTGGTGAGCTGAAAAAATGTTTTTTTAAGGCCTTCGTTATGGAAGGATATTTCCCATGGATAAAGAAATGAGGGTTTTTGTTTGTTTGTTTGTTTGTTTAGTATTTTGAAGATGTTAAGCCACTGCCCTCTGTGTGCATTTATGCTCATGAGAAATTTGTTGGTATCCTTCACTGTTCCTCTGAATCTAGTGTCTTTCCTTTCAGGGTGTTTTTCACACTATCTCTTTTTCTCTGCCTTTCACAATGTGATAGTGGATGGGGGTTGGGTGGTTGTTTCCCCCCACGCCCCGTATTTCATGTACTTAGGGTTTCTCAAGAATTTGGAAAATATAGGTACTGAATTTTCATGAAATTTGAAACATTTTTGGCAAATACTCCTCAAATATCTTTTTATCCTCCCCACCCTCACTCTCTGGGTTCACAATTATATGTGCATGACATTGCTCACATTTTCCTACA